CTCCTAATTAAATGTTGCAGAATTTAAATGAATAAGTAAACAAAAGCCCTTCGAACAGTACCTGGTTCATAGTAAGTTCTAGATTAGTATTACTGGTTAGTATTGAATTTCTACAATAACCCCGCCCGTGCGGAACCTTTCTGTGGTCACTGTTTTCAGTAAACGTATTTATTTCCCTATGGAAGTCTCCACCCAGAGAGGTGCACAGCTGAGCGAACCGCTTCCAGAGTGAATACCCCGTGCAGCTGTACCCCGGAAATTCAGCCGCCCCGCTCAGAGCCGGTGCCACACCCTTCCCCCCAGGAGACCACCGGCTTCCTTCCTAACAAGGGGCGGAGTTTTGTGGTCTTAAGGTGCTTCTAGTAGATGGTTTGTGTGTTCACATTTTTGTAGCTAGGGCTGAGGAGATAGCACATTAGAAAAGCACTTTCCTAACTTTAATCTTGTTTCAAGGAAAAATTTGAAAGAATTTCTTTTCTCCATATCTTAAGCTGAATGATAGCAAATCACTGATACTTGTCTTAGAACTACAAATATGCCAATTTCACGAGGAAAGTTCTAAATAAATGGAAGGACGTCCATTCGCATAGATCAGAGGGATTCACGGTGTTAACGTGGCAAAAATCTCCAAGTTGGTTGAGATTCTGCTCAAGCTATATTAGAATCCAAGCTGGATTCTTCATAGAAATTGACAAGCTGATCCTAAAGTTTATATAGAAATTGAGTAGGTCAGGAATTGCCAAAAACATCTTCTAAAAATAGCAGAGTTGGGGCTGAGGGTGGTTCCGTGGTAGAGTTCCAGGATGTGCAAGGCCCTGGATTTGGTGCGCTGGAACCACATGGAGAAAAAGAGGAAGACAGAAGAAAATAAAGAGGAAGAGGAATGGGGCTAGGGATTTAGCTCAGCGGCACAGCACCTGCCTGGCAAGCGCAAGGTCGTGAGTTCGATTCCTGGTACCTGGGAGGTGGGGGGGGGGAACAAAAACAAAAACAAAAAAAAAAGGAAGAGGAAGGAAAAGAAGGGGAAAGGGAAGAGGAAGAGGAAAAAGAGCAGCAGCAGCAACAAAAACAAAAAGAAACAAAGTTAGAGCGGGGCGTGGTGGCGCACGCCTGTAAGCCTATAATCCCAGCACTCAGGAGGCTGAGGCAGGAGGATCGTTGCAAGTTCGAGAGCAGCCTGGGCCACAAAGTGAGCTCAAGGCCAGCCTGAACTGCAGAGAGAGACCCTGTCTCAGAAAAAAAACAAAACAAAACCAAAAAACCCCAAAAAACCCAAGAAACAAACAAAAAATACTACTGGTCTCAACTGTCTCAGGAAAGACGGCAAAATCATTTTACACAGATGAGATAAGGGGGCGAGAGGGCTGTGAGTGTGAGAAGAAGTTAGAAGAGTTGGTGAAGGAATGGCAGGGTGGACTAAAAAGGGGTCAGGGGCGCGGAGCACCCAGGTGCCCGCAGGGGCGTGAAGCCAAGCGGCAGCGAGCGAGACTTCCGACTTTACCCCAGCTGTCTCCTCCGGAGTCATCGCTGCTGCCGGCTAGACAGCCCCGATTCCTCCAGCCTTACTCATGCGTTTTGGCTCGGAGCCTGTCGCGCTCTCTGGACAGTCTCCCCGGAATTTACTGCCTTTTGACAGCCTTCCTCCCAGAGCTGAGTGTCCTTCCCCGGCGGGGGCTGAGCCAGGCCCACCTCCCCGGCCCTGCGCCGCACGCTTTCATTCATTCGGCCCGAGATGACCGGCGCGCCACCGGGCAGCTTTGTTAGCTGCGCTAGTGACACCTCCGAAGAGCGGATCTGATTTAGCCACAGATCAAGGGGAGGGAAACTCGAGGTCTGTAAAAGAAACTAGGGGAAAAAATCATGTTTAACGTGATGGCTGGTGGGGACGTGGGAGGCTGGGGTCCGGAGCTAGCGGCGGAAATGCGTGTGGGAGACACTGCCCAGGGCAGCACCTCGCCGGCTAAGGCGCCCGGCCCGGCCCAGCGCCCGTCATCCTGGACCTGGTCTCCGGGCAAACGGCCTGGCGACTCCGCCCTGAAGAGCCACAACCCCTCTGGGTCCTAGTGTAGCAAGGGAGAGGCGAGCGTGAGGGGCCGTCGGAGGCGCTTCTGCACCGCAGTCGTCGCTGGACACTGGGGTGGCTGCTGGTTCAGCTCTGTGGGGTGGGAGCCAGAAGGTCGCTGGGTCTGAAAGGGCAGACTACAAGGAGGCGGAGGAACGTAGCTTTTGACATCAGATCTAGATTTAGAACGTGTTTCTGCCGCCTCCTTGCCCTGTGACGTTAGCACATTCCTTCGTCCCTTGGGGCCCTCCTTTCCCTGTCTGTAGCATGGGAATGAACAAGACCTACCCCTTGGGCTGGCCGCGGCAGAAATCGTACCAACCGCACCACTGTACGGAGCTTTTGTCCTTGCTATTCCTGCGGAGGCACATCTTGCTCAGCCCAGCTTTGCCTGAGTATCTCCGGGTGGTCCTCAAGGGTTCTCCTGGATCTTTTACTTCCTCCCGGAAGCCTTCCTGGACGAGCTGTCCCTCTCTGCCCCCCCATGGTGCCGCCCACCCTTGCTTGTCTCCTTGTTAGACACGCTGGCTTTTTTTCTGGTACCAGGAATCGAACTCAGGACCTTGTGCTGGCCAGGCAGGCGCCTGTGCCGCTGAGCTACATCCCCAGCCCTGCCTTCTCAGACTCTCGCATCGCAACAGAACTCTTTCCCTGTCCGTCCCCACTAACTCTGCGGACTAAGAAGCTGGATCTTGCAGCCGTTGTATTCCCAGGCCATTGTATTCCACATTCATTCCAGGACTCTTAGTCTCACTTTTTAAAATTACTGGGCCAAAATACCCAACACTCACCACTCTCATCTATTTTGAAATTTTGTTTTATTTGAGACATGGTCTCTAAATTGCCCAGACTGGGTTCAAATTTGAGCCTCTCCTGCCTCAGCCTCCCAGAATACTGGGATTACAGCATGCACTCACAACTTGAAGAAGGGGGTGACTTAGGCTCATGGTTTGAGTCTGTGATCAGCTGGCTCCAAGGCACGGCGTAAGGGTCTGGCAGAAGGAAACGTCGCCCATCATGGCGGCCAGGAAGTGGGGGGCAACAGGAGCCAGGCAGGAGGAAATGCCCTTCCGGGTCACGGCCCCAGGGACCTTCTCCTGCTGAGACTCGGCTCCTCATAGCACATCCAGCTCTGGACTCTCCAGTGGATTCATGTCCTCAGGAGTATAGCCCCCGCAGTCCAGTCGCCCTCCAAAACCCTAGCCTTGGAGCACGTGAGTCTCTCGGGGGCGTTCTAGATCTACACCCTAACGCCAGGCGCTCAGCAGATATGTGCTGGTAGAATGACATTTTGAGGATTAAATGAGATGATAAACGTCTAACTCATGCTTTCCGAGCCATATTGGCTCTAGAGTAAAAAATAGGGACATGAAAACATACCCATTTATTCACCTTCTTTGCAGGCTCTTGGGCTTTCTTAAAATTCTCCCCCCAAACTACAGAAAGACAGCACTGGCCAGGTGTGGTGGCACACACCTGTAATCCCAGCACTCGGGAGGCTGAGGCAGGAGGATCCTTGTGAGTTTGAGACCAGCCTGGGCCACAAAGTGAGCTCAAGTCCAGCCTGAACTGCATAGCGAGACCCTGTGTCAAAAACACCAAAAAAAGAAAAAAAAAAGAGAGACAGCACAGACTCTGGAAACCAGCTGCATGAATTCCAATCTCTCCTGTACAACTTATCAACTCTGTGAGTCACCCTGTCTATGCCTCAGTTTCCTCATCCAAGGAATGATTCACAAGATTGCCATGAGGATTATAACAGCGCTCAGCACAGAGTAAGCACCATGCAAGAACTTAATACATGCCCCCCCCCCCCCACTGCTGCTCCTGGCTGCTCTGATCTGCGCCTCTCTTTCAGTCCGGCTGTCTACAATCGCCTCCCTCTCCCGCTGATCCCAGCATGGCAAGCCGACGCTGTGTGGGCCACGCGATTCTGTAGATGGGGTAGATCGCACTCGGCCAATCCCGACCACCAGAACCACAGCTGCTCACGCTTCGAGTGTGTCTGCGAACCCACCGAGAATCCCGTAGATTCCGAACTGGAATCGGGGACGGGCCTGAGAGCCTGCATTTCCGACCAGCTCCCAGGTGATGCGGGTGTTGGCGATCCGAGGACCACATTTTATTTAATGAGGATTTATTTTTCTCCCAAATCTGTGTGCAAGGCAAGGAGAGAAACAAGAGGTGAGCTGAAAAAATCCACAGAAGGTTTGAAAGGGATAGGTCAGAAGAAACCCTCGTGTAGGCAACTCGCACTGTTGTGTAAGCGTTTAACGTTTCTTTTTTTTTTTTTTTTTTTTACCGGGAATCGGTACCGGGAATTTTGTACCGGGAATCGAACTCACGACCTTGCGCTTGCCAGGCAGGCGCTGTGCCGCTGAGCTACATCCCCAGCCCCTGTAAGCGTTTAACGTTATCAGCCTCTATGTTGCTTGAGTCTTCGGGTCACAGAATGGCTGCTCCAGTTCCAGCCCCCGAGTCCACGACCAAGGCGGAAAGAAGGCGGACGCGCAAAGGCCAGAGCCCTTCTGAGGGTGTCCTTGTGATGAAAACAGAAGCCGCCTCACGTACCTCGAGCGAAACTCTGGTTACATGGAGGCTTCCGGGAAGGAGGCGAAGGTATTTCACGGGGCGCCGTCCTGCCCGGAACACGACGGGGAAGCACGAGCAGCATGGGGGTAGTAAGCAGCTACCAAAAACAGCCGGTCTGCGCATGTGCCCAGAGCCACGCCGCACCCCTGCTTGTCCTTCCCAAACAATGACCAGGTCAGCCTGGTGTGGTGGAGCAGTCCCAGCACTCTGGGAGGCTGAGGCAGGTGGATGGAAAGTTCCAGCCCAACCCAGGCAAGTTAGAGACTTAGCAAGACACTGTGGGGGGGGGGGGGATAATAGAGAGAGAGAGAAAGGGCAGGACAGGGTAGGGTGGGGCGGGGCGGGGAAGGAAGGGGAGAGAAGAGAGGAGAGGAGAGGAGGTGAAAAAAGTAGTTCTGGGAATATAACTCCGTGTGAAGTCCTGGGTTCAATTCCTGGACACACACACACACACACACACACACACACACACACACACACACGATTATGGGTTTAGTTAAATAGTATTTACCTGCCTCCAGGGCTTAGGTTTGTGTCCATGGGGGTGGTAGGAGAATTACTGAAGCACTAGTTTCAAAATCACCACTGTCCTCTATTTTGAAATTTTGTTTTATCTGATACATAGTCTCTAAATTGCCCAGGCTAGGTTCAAACCTGAGACTCTCCTGCCTCAGCCTCCCAAAATACTGGGATTACAGCATGCACCACCACGCCCTAGCCCACCATCTTGGAGCTGAACGAACATCTTTAGGATGAAATCTTTCCCAGGCTTTGCGAACTCCCACACGGGGCAGTTCTTCCAGGACCCTCCATCAGCCGTCCCATTCCAGAGGCTCCAGCCCCGCCCCGCCGTCCAAACGAGGAACCCCACCCCACTCTCAGCCAAAAGCTTGGGAGAAACCGTTAAGGCCAGGTCCAAGGGGGTGGAGCCTAGGACTGAGCAGGCCAATTGGTGAGCACCTTCTCCCTAGGCGACTAGTGATTGGTTCAGGGATGGCGAGGGGGCCCTCGGCAAACCGGCTAACGCCGTGGAGTGATTTGTTGAAGTAAAGGAGAGACAGAGGGAACGTCCACGTGGCTGGCGTAGCTACAGAAGCTTCTGGAAGTCCTTGAAATCACAGGCACGCCAACAACTGGGGACGCATCCAACCGTGAGAAGGTGGAGGGGACAAGCAGACAGTGCACATTTGTGACCTAGGTGAATTCTGAACCCTTCAGCTTTGAACGCAGTAACTCTCCCTGCTTAAACCAAGTCAGTTTGGCCAGCGGTGATGGTGCCCTTCTTGGAATCCTGTGCATCTGGAGGCTGAGGCAGGAGCATTGGAAGTTCAAGCCCAGCGGAGGTAACTTTTTTTTTTTTTTTTTTGAGACAGGCTCTTGCTATACGGTTCAGGCTGACCTTGAGCTCACTTGGTAGCCCAGGCTGGCCTTGAACTTGCAACGATCCTCCTGCCTCAGCCTCCTGAATGCTGGGATTACAGGCGTGAGCCACCACGCGTGGCATAGCCTGGGCAACTGAGAGAGACTCTGTCTCAAAGTTTAAAATTTTTAAAAAGGGCTCAGGATGTAGCTCAGGGATACAGTGCTTGCTTCATAGGTATGAGGCCCTGGGCTCAACCTCCAGTACAACGAAAAAGACATTTTAAAGAAGGCAGTTTGCATGGGATTCTGGGACTTGCAGCTGGAATGAGCGGGCGTCATGGTTTGCAGGACTGGGTGGGCGTCAGCATAGGGCACCCTTGGCCTCGAATGCCCCTCCCCACCCATCCCTTGACCTCACATCCAAAGCCCCAGTTTCTGCGGCTGTGGAAGGGGGAAGATGGTCGCCTTCCTGATGGGATTCAGAGGTGGTGTTTGTGACGTGCTGAGCACGGGGCCCAGCACACTGGGGTGAGGAACGGCACATTAGCTTCCCTGCTGGACGCTAACAGGCCCTGCTGGAAGTTGCGCTCCAAACTCACTGCAAAGAGAACAGTAAGAGAAGCCCAGGCTTGCTGGTGGCAATTAAGAGCTTTAGCCTTGTCTGTATGTTTTAATTTTTTTTTTTTTTTTTTGTGACAAGGTCTCATTATGCAGTTCGGGGTGGCCTTGGACTCACTACATAGCCCAGGCTGGCCTCCAACTCACACGGCAATCCTCCTACTTCAGCCTCCCAAGTGCTGGGATTATAGGTGCGCACCACCACACCCACTTGTTTTAATTTTGTTTTTCCTTTTTGAAATAGGGTTTCACTATGCAGTTCAGGCTGGCCTTGAACTCACTTTGTAGATGTTCCTGCCTCAGCCTCCCCGAGTACTGGAATTACAGGCGTGTGCCTCCACGCCTGGACTCTGTTTTAATTTTTTAAAAAGTAAATATATCCATATGTTATGTGTACAATTAAAATAAGTGTTTAAAAAGTTATTAAAATTGAAAAAAGTGGATGGGAGGGCAATAAAGCAGCCCCAAGGAGCCCCACGTAAGGTGTCCGCTTTGCTTTGCTTTTGTTTGTGTGGTAGTGGGGATTGAATCCAGGGCCTTCACCCTGAGCTGTACCAACCGTTTTCTCAGTTTTTAATCTGAGACAGGCTCTTGCTAAATTCCTAAATTGTCTCGGGGGCCTCAGACTTGTGGTCCTGCCTCGGCCTTGCGGAGTGTGGGGTTCCGGGGTGTAATCCCCGCCCCTGCGCAGCCTCCTTGGCTTTTTGACGCCTGGGGCTCAGACAGGGCGTTTCCATAACTACAGTTTCTTTTGAAAGACAGAGGGTCAGCGAGCGCTTTCTCTGAAATCTGGCTGAACCGAGGTCTAAAGCAGCAAGGATGCTCACCTTCCTGGGTCTGTTCCGGGGCTGCAGCAAACTCCAGGCCGCCTCTGAGGGTTTGAACTCTGGAACCCAAAGGGGAGATAAGTGGGCACTGGCGTGAGGGGTGATCAGGGCTACTGACGCGAAGGCCGCCAGCTCTCGCACGCGGGCTTTCGAGAACGTTATTCTCCAGCAAGAGCTTTAGCTTTCCTCTCACTGACCACGTGTTTTAAAGCTTTTCCGAGCATTTATTACAAGGCCCCAACAGTGCCTTATTTTTCTCCTCAGCGTCCTGCTCTGCAGCTTCCTTGGTCAACGCTCCCCATGCCGAAGAGCCGGGCGTTGGCACGGGCCGCGAGCGCCTGGAAGTTCTTTCCTTCCTCTGCGACAGCCTTGGCCTCCTCTGGCAGACGCTCCCGATGGGCATCGCAGGTCCTGTGAGCCGGGTGGCCAGTTTGAGGTCGTCAGCAGAGCATGTCCCTTCTTCAGGGCGGTGGCTTCCCGGGGAAGAGGATGAGTTTGCCGCATGTTTCAGCGCCCCCACGCTGCCCCGCAGACTCGGGGGGTTTGTCCCCTGCTGGGGTCCGCTGCGGGGCCGCGGCCTGGGCCACCTCCTCGTGGATACCAGCCACCCACAGCTCCTCAGACTGACGCCCCTGCCGGCTCAGACCTCGGTGTGGTGTCACACGGGATGGGTCTGGACGCGGCAGGGGTCAGGGTCAGGGTCAGGGTCAGGGTCAGGGTCAGGGTCAGGGTCAGGGTTAGGGTTCGGTTTAGCGGAAGGTTTTAGGGTTAAGGTTTAGTCTTAGGATTTGGGGTTGGAGTTAGTGTTAGGGGTAGGGTTTCGGGTTAGGGTTGGGCTTAGGGTAAGGGGTTAGGGTTAGGGTTTAGGGTTAGGTTTTAGCGTTAGGGTTAAGTTTAGGGTAAGTGTTTAGGGTTAGGTTTACCGTTAGCGGTTAGGCAGAAAAAATATATATATAGTGTACAACCCGGTAGGGCATGGTGGTGCACACCTGTAATCCCAGCACTCGGGAGGCTGAGGCAGGAGGATCATCTTGAGTTTGAGACTAGCCTGGGCTACAAAATGAGCTCAGGGCCAGCCTGAACTGCATAGCAAGACCATGTCTCAGAAAGACCAAAATAAGAAAAAAAAAGGATCCCGTTAGGGTTAAGGTTGGTGATGCTGTGCACTTTTGCCTGATGGCCTTGTGCCTGGGTTCTTAGGAGCTGACCGACCCAGCTGAGTAGCCCAGCCTGGCTGCCAGGCCTCGTGGAAGGGGGGCTTCATGATCACCCCATTCTGGCAGGGCACCAGGGCTGCCTCTTCGGCCGCAATGGCCTGAATGGAAAGGCTCACTGAACACACTGGAAAAACTCGTTTATTTAATCAAACACAGCTCTGCAAAGGATGTACTTTCTTTAATTGTTTTATCTAAGACTCCTGATGGTAGCGGTCTGCGCAGTTCCGAGGAGAACTCTGCTGCGTTCGCTTTGTGCGGTCAAAACCAGAGCGAGCATTCGGTGCCGAGCTAGGTGTCCTGAGCTACTGCCTGGGACGTCGCGGTTTCCCCAGTTTCCATCACTGACTTCCGCTTTCCTTCTCCGTGAAATGGAGATCAAATCGAGTGACCTCTGTGAACAGACCGGAAGGCTGCTTTTGGTTTGCACACAGCAGGCACTCCATGAATATCAGGCCTATTTTACCACAATTGTCATTACTTTTTGTGTGGGGGGAGGTACTGGGAATCGAACTCAGGACCTTGCACTTGCCAGGCAGGCACTTATGCCGCTGAGCTATATGCCCAGCCTTGTCATTACTTTTGTGTATCTGGCCAACAACAGGATACAGAAAGGTGGCATTCTGGGAAATTTTTGGTTGATTAAAAATAAATCCCCTTTTGCACATTGCAAACTAAGAGCTCCCGAGACCACCAAAGCATTTCCCTTTCCTCTTTTCTGACCGTCCATACCACCCTCCCTCTGCCCTGTTCATGCTCTCATCACTGGGTCCATCGTCTGCCCCTCCACCAGCGTAAGTTCTAGAAGGACGGCAGCTGTGCCTGCTTGCTCACTGCCGTAGCCATAGCAAGTAGCAAGCGCCCTGCTGGCACAGAGCTCAGCGACACTGCGCCGAATGAATGAGTGATATCCCTAAATGTTCTCCAGTGCTGTCGTGTCAGGCCGTAAAGAATACTGGAGTTGGAAGAATCCCTGCTGATACGTCAGTTTCCAGTCTTTGGTGTCCCCTTTATTGCTGGCATTTTTTGAGACAGGGTCTCGCTATGCAGTTCAGGCTAGCCTTGAACTCAGGTGTATAGCCCAGGCTGGTGTCAAACTCACAGTGATCCTCCTGCCTCAGCCTCCCATATGCTGAGATTAGAACGCCCAGCTCCCTTCAATCCTTTGTCCCTGATCCCACCCACACTGGACATCCACTTGCAGCAAAGTCAGCCTCTACTTGGTCCTGCCCTCCTTCCTTTCTGCTGACAGACAGCTCTTTTTAAAGCGTTGATCTCTCTAGGACTTTTTCTATGCCCACCCTTGGGCCAGGGCAGATTTCCATATTACATGTTTAACCAGTTAGGATGTTCCTGGTAATTTTAAAAAATACTTCCTACTGCCTTATACAATGTGAAATTCACCGAATCCCACTGTAGTGGATTGATAATTTGTGGTAACTTATAACACCCAGCTGAACTGAGCAAGCGTGGTGCTGGGTGTGGGAGGCCCACCTGGGGACTGTTGCCAGCAGCATAAGAGGCAGAACTGGAGAAGGAGGAGGAGGCTGTTGGGAGCTGAGAGAGGCTGTTGGGAGCTGGTAGAAGCTGTAAGGAGCTGTTGGTTCTTTCGGAGGAGCTCATCATGCTGTCTTTCCTGATGAACTCGGCTGTTTTCATCCTTAGAGGAGCTTGGGACCTCGTTGGCACTGAGAAAGGCTTCAATTCACTTTGGGGGAGCTCTGGTCCTCACGCTGAGCATCGCTTCCTGGCTCCGGAGGGGAAGATGGTGCACTGCTGGTCTCCTGGAGAAGCCTGCTGCGTTGGCTTCCCAATGGGAACTCAGACATCTTGATCATCGGAGGAGCTCGGGACCTCACTGCTGCTGAGGATGGCTGTGGGACCTTTCAGGGGAGCTGTGATTCTGAGCATCACTTCCTGGCTCCAGTGCAGATCCCTCAGCCTGCTAGCACAGATCCTTCATCCGGCTGGCACAGACTTCCTAGATTCCACCACAGACCTTGGGGCCTTCCCAGCGCAGATCCATGAAACAGGCCTGCATGAGATATTGTTACGGGCTCTGGGTCTCCAGGTGGACTCGTGGGAGGCACTGTTATGAGCCCTAGGTCTTCAGCTGGACTCCTGCAGGACGTTTCTGTGGGATCCAGGCCATCGGCTAGATTCCTTGGTCTTTAGTGTGTGGACAGATTTCCTGCACTCTCTTGTATATGATTCTTTGGGTGACTATTATAAATAATCTTAAAAATGTGTATCCTGTATATTGTATTGTTCTCCTTGTAAAAATATCCCCCTAACCAATACACCCATAAGAAGTTCCAGATACAGAGCGGACTTCAGGTGGGATCAGACCCAGGGAGCCCTAATCACCGTCCCTGGCTCTGTCCCAGCAGCTGCCTTCACAGGCTCCTGGAGAGGAAGCAGCCGCAGCGCTGGCCTCGCTTCCCCGCTCGCCTGCCCGGAGGAGGAGGGAGCAGTGCACCTGCAGCCGTCACACATTGAATCAGACACATATTTTACTGAACCCCAGCCAGGCGCACTGTGCTCGGGTTTGGAGAGAGATGGTGAAGGAGACAGACATGCCTTTGACAGCTAAGAAGTGGGTGGAGATACAGATACTCCACAGATGGTTAGGGCTGGGGATGTAGACTGGTAGTAAGCGCTTGCCTGGCATGAGTGGGGACCTGGGTTAGATCCCAACCCTGCAAAAAAGAAAATGAAAACCAAGAAAACACTTCCCCCTACAACAGCAATAGGACATAAATAGCGAATCAGGACATAAATAGCGAATTATCTCGAGGCCGCTTCCTCTGCTAAGGACCCCCTCGCTACCCATTGTTCAGTTCTTGAGGGAGACCCAGTGTCTCCCCTGCTGGGCTGTTGGGGTCTCCTCCTGTAGCAGGAGTAAGAGGTAGGTATGGAAGTGTTATTTGAGTGTGCACATTTGCTTTTTTAAACTTGGGTGGCGCTGTAAGGTGGGCAGCAGGACAGAATAGAAGGCTTTTGTTTTTCGGTGTTTTTTTTTTTTTTTTTGTCTTTTTGAGACAGGGTCTCGCTATGTAGTTCAGGCTGGCCTTGAGCTCACTTTGTAGCCCAGGCCGGTCTCAAACTCCCAGCAATCCTCCTGCCTCAGTCTCCGGAGTGCTGGGATTACAGGTGTGCACCACCATGCCTGACATGGATATAAAATTTAAAAGGATACTGTTAACAGTCAGGATAAATTACCTGCCCAGGGAACTGTGGTTTAGTTCATTCCAGAACACAGTCAAAGCCACCATGCCCCATATTGCCCCATTGTTATCCCCATTTTACAGATGAGAAGACTGAGGCTGGGGTGGGGTTTGCCTGAGGCCACAGAGTTTAGGAGCAGAACTATAATGCAGGCACATAGCAGAGAGTTTGGTTTCTATCTTGACCCTATACCACCCTACAGAGACCTCTGTCCAGGCATCACCCCCTTGTGCAGTGTCTAGTTATTTACCTGCCTGTCTCCATCCACCAAGTGTTTGAGAGAAAAGATCAGGTCTGTTCCTCTCCATTTCTTTAGCCCCAGCGTTATTTTGGTATTTCCTCTACTATGCCAATGTTTGTTGAATCAACCACAAGACTGATGAATGACTGAACGAATAATTATTAGTAAGCATCCGGACACAGGGTACAGCTTGTGATCTGAAGGATTTAGAAATAGTCTTAGCAAATTGGGGACCTGCATGAGCCTCTGTCCTCAGCCTCTAGAAGAAACAAAACCTTTGAAAAGGAAGAAAGAGAGAAAATGGGGCGTAGCGAGGATTCCGGGCTGGATTCCATGACGTCACCTGAAGCGGGGGACTGCGCTTGAAATCAAAGGCTCTTGTGACATGGCCCCCGGCCACGCTTGGCCGCTCGGCCCGTGTGGGGGACGCAGCGAAAGTGGGCCGCCCAGGGCTGGCCTCGCCCCAGCCTCGGCGCAGGAGCCTCTGCATTCAGCAGGTAGCTCATCTCTGGGAAAACCAGGACAGGAAATCGCGTTGCCATGGAGACCAGAGAGGCCCTTCCAGACACGGGGGAAAACAAACACTTTCTGGTTGGACTTAACCCCCACAGAGCCACAGGGGCCTCCTCTCCCAGTCCGAGAGGTTCTGGTTTTCTCTGGAAACATCCAGAGGCCTCTCCTCTGAGGGCGGACTGGCAGCTCCAGCCCTGGCAGAGCCCTGGAAGCAGTGTCAGCCTTGGGCTGAAAGAGGAAGCCATTTTGTACCCAAATTTAAGAGCTCCCCAAAGCCGGGCCTGGTGGTGCACGTCTGTAATCCCAGCACTCAGGAGGCTGAGGCAGGAGGATCGCTGCGAGTTCGAGACCAGCCTGGGCGACAACGTGAGCTCACGCCAGCCTGAACTGCATAGCGAGACCTTGTCTCAAAAAGACCAAAAAAAAAAAAAAAAGAGCTCCTCGGATTCTCTGACTGCTAGGGGTGGACTCCTGACCACAGTGCCAGACTAACGTTTCTATTGCACTTGCTGCAGGCCGGGCTCGCTTCCACAGGCTTTGGCTCTGTGGATTCACCCCATCCTCACAACTGTCCAGGAGGGACATGTCCTTACTGTCTTACTGGTGTGGAAACCAGCCACAGAAGGACAGAGTGACTCACCCGAGGTCAGCAGACAGTTGACAGTGG